TAAGAAAATGAAGATTAGAAAAGATTAGAATCATGCTTTTGCTTTTGAAGTTTCTAAATATAATAACACTTAATGAGGAATTTAATTTCAAGATGAATTATAGAAGGATAGATAATATTAGGGAAATAAAAAAAGTGGGAAGATATTCCTTATATATACTTAATCTAAATAATATAAAATAAAGGTTTCCTCCTAAATAAATAAGTGTTACCAATCCTACAAATTAAATTAATTATGGTAAAATATTGGTAAAAAGATCGCCTTCTATCTTATATTATTAGAATTTTCCATTTAGATCAATTTATTTTTCCTTTCTTGTTATTAAATTTAAATAATCGTCAATTTAGAAATATTGTAGGTAAGATGATAAAGATAGCAATTCTTATGCTTAAAAATATATATTGAGGTTTTAGGGTAGTCAACATTAATATATCTTAAAAAGATTGATATTACACAACAAAAGAGCTTTCGCCAGAAACTAAAGAAATTACACAAATAGATATTGCTCCAATCATAAATGCTTTATTGGATTATTAAGCATAACTAGTAACTTATTTTATTTATTTTGAGATTATTTTTGGCTTTTGTAGAGTAATTGACTAATTAAACGAATAAAGTGCTTAATCGTTTGAGTTATTGTGTATTAATAAATAATAAACTAAAAGATAAAATTTTTTATAACAACTTCTTGATTCAACTAAACTAGAAGAAGTGGTTTTGTTTTAGGTTGTAAAAATAATTCAATTTAAACCCAATACAAAGCATTTTGAAGATCGAATGAGATATCTTAAATTGAATTGATCGTGATATTATAATACTGGGAATCTAAATCCTCTATTCATAGATTAAATAGATTTCTGTCTTTTTCAATCTAATCTCTAAATTTGACCTGTTAATCAAATGTAATTTCAACATACTAAAGAGTAAACGATTGCTATTTATAAATAAGTACCATACTCGATTTTAAAGAGTATGCGCATTCATTTCCAAAACATATTAAATTGTCACCTAATGACGAAATTTCCTGATTTTATCCATAGATATTTGTATAGTAACTACTTGCATTGTTACTGCCTTTATTGTTACCACTTGTATTATTACTACTTGTATTGTTACTACTCTAATCATTATTTTTTTTTGGCTTCATCATTAATGCTAGAATTAATTTGGCCAGATTCTTTATTTAAATCACATTGGTTATTATCTAAGGTATAACCTTTATCGCATTCAAAGCATATACCATCTTTGCATATAAGGCAATTTTTTGTACATTAAAATTTGCATTCATAACATCCATCATTAGGAATATTATTTTCATCATCACAATATTCATTGCCTGCAACAATACCATCCCCACATTATGGCAAGCAATCATTACTTTATTTATCATAATATAATCCGATTAAATCTTCGCATGATTTTAGATATTGACAAAAACCTGTTGATTCTACAAGTATTAGAGGTGCATCGCATAATAAACACTTTCCAATTAACAATCTAAACATCCAATTTGACATTAATATATACACTAGAACAACCATCGTATTCAAATTCATTGCCATCATCACAAAATTCATCACTTGCCAGTATTTGATCACCACAATCAGATTTGCATGAATTACTGACAATATCCAAATAGAACCCTGAATAACAATTAATACAAATGCCATAAGCACATGAGTTACAATATTAAGGACATTAGTGTGAACAATTTAAACATCTATCTAATTAGTATTCACGTCCATCATCACATTCCTCCTATTAAACTATTATACCATCTCCACATTAAGGCACACAATTGTTTCCATAATATCCAAATTCACATTCTAAGCATTTTGAAAGTACACATACTTAACAATTTTTAGAGCATTTATTCATCTTATGATCAATTAAACTGCAAATTTCATTAGGAGATATTAATTGATAACCTTCTTAACAATCATAACAGATTCCTTTTAGACAAGTAAGACATGAATCCTGGCAACTAAATTGACAGAAATGACATCCATCTCCATAAATTAAGTTGCCATCATCGCATTATTCATCTTTAGTTATTATTTTATCACCACAATTTGAATAACATAAATTATCAATTCTATTATAACCTAATTGACATTTTAAACAACCAAGCCCAGTAGTATTACATATGAGACAAGAATTTGACATTTTGCTTAACCATTTTAACAACCTTTATATGGTAATATATATGAATTCTCACATTATTCACCAATCACAATTAGAGAATCTCCACAAATCGGTATACATACTTTTTCATTAGAAAGATAATATCCAGTGGCGCATATTTCACATCTATTATTTATGCAACTTGTGCAAATACTTGTTGGCTAACACTAAAAGGGAACAAGAGCTGCTGCAGCCATCATTATTAATTGTATTACCATCATCACATTACTCTGTATTGAATCCATAAGGATCTACTACGACTAAACCATCTCCATATAAATTTTTACAATAGTAAGAGTTAGGAACAAACCCAGGCAATTAACAACTTAAGCATTTTTGGTTGTATAATCACAAGAAGCACAATCACTTCTACAGAAATACTTACAATCTTTACACCCATCAGTATCAGAAGTGTTTCCATCATCGCATTATTCGTTCCCAACTATTAGAAAATCTCCACATTTTTCTTTACATTACCAAGGACTAACAGTTGGATCAATATAGAAACCAGCAGTTGTACACTCAAAGCATTGTCCTTTTATACATTTTGTACATTAAGGTTAACATTAATATTTACAATTATAACAACCATCATATTAAATAGTATTCCCATCTTCACATTTTTCAATATAAATATTACTCATTATAGTATTTAGCTTTTACTATCAAAAGGAGGAGAATGCTTATATATATTTTTTTGAGTTTATTCTAAAATATATTTAATATTTTTAAGTAAATGGAGGAATAATAACATTATATTATATGAGATAATAAGGAGCATATCCGAAGCCGTAGACTTAATTACTAATTGCAAGCCATAACTTGAAATATTTACTTTTGAGTAAGTTAGAGTGCAAACTTTTGAGGAAAAGGCTCAATCTTCGACGATTATTTTTTAAGCTGGATCTAA